GACATGTTATCAGGAGGGATCAGTCCCTGGAGAAGGACATCATGCTTGGTAAAGTAGAGGGTCAGCGAAAAAGAGGAAGACCCTCAACGAGATGGCTTGACACAGTGGCTGCAACAATGGGCTCAAGAGTAACAATGACTGTGAGGATGGCACAGGACCGGGCAGTGTTTCATTCTGTTGTACACAGGGTCACTATGAGCGGGAACCAATTCCATGGCACCTAACAACAACAACAACATACCTCTTACAAAAATAATATGCTCATATCTTGGTAATTTTGCATGTTCTATGTTATGGATGAAACTGTGTCCCCCAATATGTGTTGTAAACTCTAACCCCTATATCTGTGGATGTAATCCCATTTGGGATTAGGATTTTCTTTGTTATATTGATGGGCCATATTAGTGTACAGTGTCTTCAAGCCAATCACTTTTGCGATATAAAAGAGCAGATGAGCCACAGAAGCAAGCACAGATGGGGGAAGACAGACGCCATGCCACACCCCCAAACCAGCAGTGCTTCCAGAGGGGAGGGGGAGTTGCTGTTGTTGGGTGCTGTCAAGTTGATTCCAACTCATAGTGATCCCATGTGACAAAGCAGAACTGTCCTGTAGGGTTTCCAAGGCTGAAATTTCTATGGGAACAGATTGCCAGGTCTTTTTTCCGATAGAGCCACTGGTAGGTTCAAACTGCCGACCTTTCAGTGAGCAGCTGAACACTTAACCATTACACCACCAGGGCTCCTCAGGGAAGCTAGACACTCTTACAGCAGGCATTCGGCTCTAAAGCAACTGTCACAAACTGAATTGTGTGCTCCAAAAATACATGTCAACTTGGCTAGGCCATGATTCCCAGTATTGTGTGGTTGCCCTCCTTTTTGTGATCTGATGTAATTTTCCTACGTGTTGTTAATCCTAATCTCTGCCTGCGGTTAATGAGGCAAGACTAGGTTATGTTAAAGAAGATTAGGGTGGATGCAACACCCTCATTCAGGTAGGTCACAGCCCTGATCCTATGTAAGGGAAGTTTTCCTGGGGTGTGGCCTGCATAACCTTTTATTTTACAAGAGATAAAAGTAGAGAGCAGAGAATAGGGGACCTCATGCCACCAAGAAAGGAGCACCAGGAGCAGGAGCCAAGTGTGTCCTTTGGACCCGGGGTCCCTAGGCTGAAAAGCTCCTGGACTGGGGAAGACTGATGACAAGGACCTTCCCACAGGGCCAACAGAGAGAGAAAGCCTTCTAAACCTAGCTCTCTGAATTCAGACTTTTAGCCTCCTAAACTGTGAGAGAGTACATTTCTGTTTGTTAAAGCCATCCACTTGCACATTTTATAGCAGCACTAAATAACTAAGACAGCAACCTGCAGAATAGTATGGCAAATATGTGTTCCCCTGCCAGTGGTGACCCCTGTTGGCCCTCACTAACGTATCACCATACTTCCCCCACTGAACCAGTCACCACCACACGGTCCTTCCAAACACAGGGCTTGTGCCAAGCAACTGGCATTGGCCCGTGAGCTGACACCCCACTGGCATCTCTGGCCTAGAACAATCACTCCAACACTATAAAGGCTGTTCAGTTATTATGTTGCCATATTTCAGGAAGGAAGATAGCCAAGTGTCTTGAAACAAAACATTTTAATCAATGGCCTCGAAAAACCCATAGTTTTAGAGCGA